AGTCCAATATCACCTCTCACCTGCCTCCACCATTGCGAATGATATCAAAAAAAACTGGAACCTCCCGTAGTACTTAACATACACTTGCCGACCAACACACATTTCCCGACTGCTCCCTTTGTAAGTAGCCTTCTAGCCTCACAATTTACCAACAACAGCCCCTGGGCTCTTGTTCGACGTTATGGGAGTTTTCTGCCTGATCATGTTTTTGCTTGTGCCCAATGCCATCTATAGAGGCGCTGGCGTCATTTGACGCTATTATGCGCCAATTTGGCGCCCACCACTTTTTTCACCAAAGTCGATGAAAACTTGCATATGGGGGTTAATTGAGGTCCTGATTACGAATCCAACATTCATTTTTGGCGCTGGCGCCATTTGGCGCCATATTTCAGAAAACCTGAATCAATGAAAAAGGGTTGAAGGCGCCTTTTGTGATTCGCACCACCCTGATTTCCGAGAAAAAAAGATAATTGTATTCGGCTTTAACCAATGCCCATCCCGTTTGACATTTGTCATGCATTCTGATTCCATTTGATCGTTATAGCGGCATTTCGTGCGTGATTTGGCTTAGCATTTATGTATGACATTGAAAGAAGCATAAAGAAAAGAAACGAAAACTTAGGAAATAAGAAAGAAATAGCAGTGAAAAAAAACTATTGCAAACAGGACCGGTTTGTTTTTCCCTGACCTGTTCCAGTAGTAGTCACTATATTTGTCCCCCTTCACGGGGAAAAGCATTTGACCAGTGGCGCGGAAGTTCTGGCTGGCCTGAAAAGTTAGAATTGAGAATTGGTTCTCTGAACAGTCGCGTGATAGACGACCTCCCCCGGCCACTGCATCAACTTCGACAGAACAGATGAAAAAGGACAGAGGATGAAGTCTTCGCCGCAGTGGTCAACCCATTTTGGGATGTGACATCACTCTACTCTCATTCAGAATCCTATGTGCTTCTTTAATGCGGTATGGACCACACAAAGACTTGCGGGGACAGCGTACAAGTGTACAAGTCAGTGTTCCTACACCCCATACAAATCTAGCCCATTGTACCCTGAGGATGGACTGCTCATTTGTACGGAAGCCCATCCGAGTTTGGACCCCGTACCATGCGTGTGAGTCGGTGTCATCCTACCACTTTACCAGCTTTGTGACGGAACAGGTATCGACCCTCAATGTCTAAAAGAGTAACTCGTAGGCAGATGATCAAGATAGACAAGAAAGGCGAGGCAGAAGAAAACAAAATGATGAAAACAAATGACCAATACGGAGATTCGACGACCGACGAGTCCTAGTGCTTCTGAAGGGCATTTTTTTGCGATTGTAAGTCCTGTGCAGATCAAAAGGAACAACACACGTGCTAGGTGGCATACCTATAAAGAGAAAATAGAAAAACATAACCCTGTTCTCTCTTCATTACCTTACCCTCCCCTGTACCAGCTAAGAAAGCGAGGCGGTTCAATTAGAAAGGCACTGCGGTTATCAGCGTTTGCCCATTCTTTTGTAGTGTAGCATGTCTCTACCATTAGTGCACATCAAAATGAGTCGATCGCTCTCCTAGCTTTTTTTTTCAGCGTTGGCTGAACACTGCTCAGATACATTCGAAATCCCTGACATGGGGTAGGCGTGGCTGCGTAGTTCAACTAAACATACTGGTGGCTGTGCTCTTGGTGAGATCTATTCAATTTTGAGAGACAATTGTGGTCATGTCTTTGTCCCACGAGTAACCCATCCTATGCCATGTCGAAACGTCACGCCTACTCCTTCTGAGAGATAGGTAGTGTATGAATGTGGTAAGGTGAATTCCGTGTGAACAGTTCTGAACAGTTTTTAGACCTTCGTGTACAGCGTCGTTACTGCATAATGATGAATGTGTGGTCATTCTTTATTCCTTGCTTCGAAACAAAAGACAATCCCGATTTATTACACCAATATCTGACCAGTCGTCCCTCACCTCCACTTCACCGCTCAAATCCACTGACCACCTGCAAACAATACCCTTCCCTTTACGTGGAGATTTTCGACAGCTCATGCACACATACATACTGGATCCCTGCTACTAATATGGTATGTGAACATGTGAAACTAGTCTATAATTAACAACACTGATGCCAATAGGAGTCTTGTTTGCTTTTGATTTAAAAAGTTCATCTGCGTGGTAACTGGATAACCAACCCCCGCGCCTCGAGTAAGTAACATGTCGTCATCCTTGTGGCAAATGTGTACAGCCCCAAGCTAGAGACTGTTCCGACCTTCTATTCGTCTGCACAGGGCGACGCGAGAAGCGATGCTACAGCCGCTGAAGTTGTAGTTCTACAAAACGCCTGCTCAAGTTGGACCTGGCCTTACTTGCTAAGAATGTCCTCGCGAAGCAGTGCCACTCAGTTGTTCTTAGTGTTGGGGCGGCGGGCACTGCTAATGCCCATGGATAATTCTGCTCCCCTTTATTACAGTTTACTCATTGGAGGTATATACATTCAATTCAACTCATTTCGCGAGGTGAAACGCGTAAAAAGCACGAGTGACGCAATTTTCGTGATGCAAAACCTCGACGCACAAAACGTGCGCTACCGTAATCCCAAATTCAGACACCGCGTTGATAAAATTCCTTTTTCCTTCCCAGAGTTTTCC